TGCCCATCATGCCTCAGGGAATCAAACACCCCTGGAATGGCTCACAGCTGCCATCATGGTAGTTTGGCCTAATCAGGGTGATTTGCCATATTTTCCCAGTAGCTGGAAAACGTATGCAGAGCTCCAACAGGTACTGTGGGAATTGGTTAAGAAAAATATCTATAATATGGACCCCCAGGGCCCTGATGAGGAGGCATTCACCATAGCAATGAGAAACCTGGTACTGCATAAGCTCCCACATCTCTCTTTGGGTCCCTAGTGAATACTCTTGCCCCCCACCTAGGGCAACCCATAAGTGAGGCTACTCATACTTTAGCAGATCTGGGGCGTGTTGAAACAGTAAGGGCACGAAATGAAGTACGGGCTATGACTGAAAGGAGAGGTGCAAAGGTCCCCGTGAAGGTCTCGAGGATCAAGATGTGGGTTGATTTGATAAAGGTCAGGGTAGTGAAAGAAAAAGTCAATGGGCAGCCCAATAGAGCCTTGTTAGAACTGTGGCATCAATTAAAGCCAGAGCAGCAGTTCCAGCCCCTGAGGTCCAGGGCACAGACACTGGAGTCAATGCCTCATGCCCGGCCTGTGTCCCTGCAAAACTTCCTGGGGGCAGTACTCAGGATTTGCCTGAGCCCTCAACCCCACAGGAGGACAATTGGGTATCGTGGTTTGACTGAGGAAGGGGATCAAGGTCCCCACCTTGGGGGACATGGTGGGGACCGGAGGCCACACATAGAATTAGCAATTCATTGCTCCCCTGTGAATGTACAATGTAGCCTAGCACTGGTGGACACAGGAGCTGAGTGTTCTCTGATTCATGGCAACCCTGAGCATTTTCCTGGGACCCCTGATGTGATAGATGGCTACGGGGGTAAGGAAGTTGGAGTGAAGAAAGCCCAAATCCCATTGGTGGTAGGGCATTTACCCCCAAAGGAGTATACTGTGTACATTTCTCCCATCACTGAATGTATTTTGGGGGTAGCTATCTTGCAGGGCCTGTGGTTTACCAACCACTGCAGGTGAGTTCAGACTGAGGGTACGTGTGGTAAGGGCTGATCTGAGGGGACATGCTTGGTACATCTTGATAGAGAAGCAACTGGCTGCTGTGTACCATACCTTGCTGGCTATGGAGCCAATCAGCGGTACCTGTAGCTCTGCCTGTACCTCGGTGGGTGACAAATACTAAGCAGTATAAATTGCCTGGAGGGCACAAGGAAATCAGAGAAACTCTACAGGAGTTGGAGAGGGTGGGCATCATAAAGCCCACTCATAGTCCTTTTAATTCCCCACTGTGGCCAATGAAAAAGCCAGACGACTCCTGGTGTATGACCATGGACAACAGGGAATTGAATAAAGTCACACCCTCTTTGCATGCTGCTTTCCCCTCTTTAGCAGACATTCTGGACACCCTCAGCCATGTGCTGGGAATGTATCTTTATGTAGTAGACCTTGCTAATGCTTTCTTTTCTATTGACATAGCACAGGAAAGTCGGGAACAGTTTGCCTTTAGATGGGAAGGCCAGCAGTGGACATTCACTGTCCTTCTACAGGGATACCTCCACAGTCCCACCATCTGTCACGGACTTGTAGCCCAGGACTTGGCCACATGGAAGAACCACAAACAGTGCGGTTGTATCACTACATTGATGATATCATGCTCACATCTGATTCTCTTGCAGATTTAGAAGGGGCAGTTCCTAGAGTGCTGCCACATCTACAGAAGAAGGGATGGGCTGTGAACAGCACCAACGTTCAGGGGCCCGGTTTGTCTGTGAAATTCTTGAGGGTTGTCTGGTCGTGAAAAATTAAAGTTATCCCAGAAGCAGTCATAGACAAGGTCCAGGCTTTCCCCACCCCTTCCACTGTGGCAGTATTACAGGAGTTTTGGGGTCTTTTGAGCTACTGGAGAGTGTTTATCCCACACTTGGCACAAATTCTGAAGCCCTTATACTGGATGGTACAAAAGGGCATCAGGTGGGACTGGGATGACACATGTGCAGCTGCTTTTACTGCTGCTGAGCAGTCAAGGCCTTACAGGCCTTGAGTGTAATGGACTCATCAAGGCCCCGTGAGCTAGATGTTCATGTAACCAAAGATGGTTATCGGTGGGGTCTTTGGCAGCAGCCTGAACGGACACGCCAACCTATTGGATTCTGGTCACAGCTATGGAAAGGAGCAGAGGTCCGGTACATCTTGATAGAGAAGCAACTGGCTGCTGTGTACCATGCCTTGCTGGCTACGGAGCCCATCAGTGGAAAAGCTCCGACCAAGGTAATAACCACCCATGCCATTGCGGGGTAGGTGTGAGACTGGACCGAAAGGCCTGGAGTGGCATGGCACAGATGCCTATGCTGGCCAAATGGGGCACATATTTACAGCAGCGCAGCACCCTCTCTACTAGCCCCTTAAGTGGAGAACTCCCAAAGCTTATTAGGGCCCGTGACCTATACCAGTGGAAAGCAGGAAGAACTTGGTTTTGAGTCATTGGTAGCCGCGAGTCCCTATTAGGAGGGAAAAGCCCCAATTACCTGAAGATGCTTGGTACATAGACGGCTCCAGTTGTGCGCAGCCCCCAAAGTGGAGGGCTGTGGCTTTCCATTCTAAGACTGAGACAATGTGGATGGAGGACAGAGAGGGGAAGAGCAGCCAGTGGGCTGAGTTATGGGCAGTATGGCTTGTGATCACCCAGGAGCCTCCCCCCTCCCCATGGTTGTCTGCGCTGACAGCTGGGTTGTCTATCAGGGCTTGACCCTGTGGCTACCGACATGGTACCATGCCAACTGGACGGTTGGTCACTGGCCCCTTGGGGGCAAGAGTTGTGGCAAGACTGTTACCGTATATCATATATCATGGACTGGCCATTTGCCTTTGGCATCCCCAGGGAATGATGAAGCAGACACATTGGCTCAGGTGCACTGCCTAGAAGGAAAGCCTGCCTCTGATGTGGGCCAATGGCTACATCAGTGTTTGTTGCATGCAGAGCAAAAGACAATGTGGACTGTAGCCCGTCAGTGGGTCTTGCCATTGACCTTGAAGAAGTCAGCCAAGCCCGGAAGGAGTTCCTTGTGTGTTCTAAGAAGGACTTACACTGAGTCCCACAGCAACATGGGACAATAGTAAGGGGGCCAATACCCCTTGTCATGTGGCAAATAGACCATATTGGGCCTCTGCCCATATCAGAAAGATATCAGTATGCCATAAGTTATGTGGACACAGCTACTGGACTACTGGTTGCTTTTCCTGCATGTCATGCAGATCAGCAAACCACCAAGAGGGTGCCTAGCATGTCTCTTTGCAGCCTATGGCTGGTCACAGGTGATTGAGAGCAATCAAGGCACCCACTTTACTAGACATGCATTACAAGGACGGGTGCAGCAATTACGAATAAAGTGGAAATTTCATGTACCATATAACCCTACAGGGGCAGGCATGATAGAGAGGTACAACAGTTTGTTGAAATCTGGCGTGAAGTCAGACACCAACAGTCTATGGGGTTGGTCAGTTCACTTATGGACAGTGCTGTGGCATTTGAATGAGAAGCCACTTAAAGGAGCCCTGAGCCCTGTGGATATGCTCACACACCTTGCTGCCTCTCCTGTACAACTGGATGTGCAAACCAAAGAAGAGTTATTGAAGCCAGGATATAGCCAGCAGTGCAACGTCCTGCTGCCAGCCCCTACTGCATTAAACCCTGGAGACACTGTTGAGTGGACATGGCCCTGGACATTTTGACACATGGACCAGCGATGGCTGGCCCTTCTGGCATCTTGGGGGAAAGGCCTGGAAGCTGGCCTCGTGTGTATTCCTGGAGTAACAGCAGAGCGGCCCCCAAATATCATGGTAGTGTACCAGAAACATCCAGGAGGTTAGAGCATCTTATGGGCAAGTTTTGTTTTATCTTTATGGCCAGTGCATGTACCTCCCATAGCTCTATATATCAACCCATCTGTAATCCCCACAGGGAGGAGGCGAAAGTCTGGTATACCAGACCAGGATGAGATCCCATTCTTGCCACTGTCCTTTCACAGGATCACTCTCTTGCATGCATCCTACCTGATGGACAAGATTTGCCTATACTGGTGTCATGAAAACATGTATCTTATTGCCCTGAAGGTTTTCTCCTACAGTCCTTGTGGCCTGGACGTGCCCCCTGGCTGCAGCTGCCGCATGATGATTGCTCTGAACTCTCTACCACTTCAGCTACTGCTTGCCTGCTGGAATGGGTGAGCTACAGACTTGACCTGCATAGGACTTTGAACCTAGCTGAATCCTTATCATAATTTTATTGCTGTTGCTACTGTATATCATTAGTCTGGTCACAATGCTTCTGTTTTCTCACCCAGGGACCATTGTGGTACAGAGGTAATGAATAGATTGTAAGGTGAGATTTCTGGAGGGGTGGCTGGTAGGTAAAATTGTAATATTTCCAGAATATCTCTCCTGGCTTTAGTGCATCTGCAAATCAACAGGCGTTCCTCAGGGGTGAAGAGAGAGAGTTCCTCTCCATATCAATGGGTAATTACCTGGGCAACCGAGGGTTTATCTGAACCTGAGAGGTTGGGGGATGTCATGCTTGCTTTTGTCGGAGCAGGAAAGAGACAGCCCTGGACTTCAGTTTACAAGCAATAAATGTGTTTTAAACTTTATTTCTCCCTTTGACTGATTTTGGTGTTAGAGGTATTTTGACCCAGGATTTCCTCTCCCTGCAGTTATATTCCAGTAGACAGATTTCTATCCTCTAGGCTTTAAGGAACTCATCCATCAAATAAATACAAGGAGACAGGAATCTTGCTGGCCTTGAGACTTCCCTCTCCCACTGCCCTGGGAGCGCTCCTTTCCTCCCCTCATTCTTGGCCCACAGCCAGGGCTGACTGGAGCCTGGTGAAGCTGGCTGCTCAGCCTGCAGCCCAGTTCACCCCTCAGGATAATCGATTCACAAAACCACGCTTTAATCATCAGGATTTCAAGAGCAGCAAGCTAAGAAACTACAAGATGAGGGTTATGGCTGTTCTTTTAACTTTTATTCAAGTAAATATAAAGCTTGTATACAACCTGATTAACATCTCTTCCAGCTCTCTTTCCAGGCTGGTCAAGACTATAGATGTGCATGCAGTGGACAAGTGTGGCTGTGCAGCATCTATCCTCTTAAGTTGAAACCATAGGTTCAGATGCACAGGCCAACAGCCACTTGTGAAATGAGCTGTGGTGGTACCTGTCCACGTGAGCCTGACAGAGGTAAGGAATGAACATCTTTTCAGGTGAAAGTCAAACTTTTATAATGTCATTATAAATGACAGTGGATTTGTCATAAAATGTCATTATTTAGATAAAATGTCATTGTTTTCTCCCATCTTTCCTAGCTCAGGCACTTGAAAATGAGAATTTAAGGAATGGGCAACCCACTTCATTAAAATTTATTGGATTTGATTTCCTAAGAATATTCAGTGTGGGAGGAAATAGCATTTGCCACTAAAGTCAGTAAGGATGCTAATGACTGGACTGGTTTTGATGTGCTAGAGCTTGTCAGAATGCAGGTGCTGGGGGAAATTTTATTTGCTGTAAATTAGTCTAGCTTCCCATGGAATTCCATCTTTAAGATTTAAGTAGTAGCTTTAGTTTAAAATTGGTTTGATTAGTGTCACTTTTCTTGGGAAAAACTACTATTTTCCCTGCAACGTGGCCTCTGGTGCCCCTCTCATTCCTTTAAATAATAGTGTGGCTTCAAGTGCTGAGTCTGATTTACAAGGAACTAGTTTAGGTTTACTTCTTACCTATTCTTACCAGTAGGGTGAACACAACCTACACAGGTCAAACTAATTTAAAAAAATCTTAATTGTCATAGTAAAAAAAAGCAGCCAAAGATAGGGCTCTGAGGCAACTGGGTGCATGGAAGGGCAGTTTGAGAGGGGTGGGGCTCTCACACCACCATGTCCTGCAGCCTGAAAAGAGCAGTTACAGAGCTGCTCCCAAAAGACCATCCTTTCTGTGGAGCCCTGCCTCTGAGCAGCTTCCCATTCTGCCGGGCAACTGAGCTCACTTCCTCTGTCGAGATGCTGCTTGGCTCAGCAGCAGCCTAGGGGAGTGGGAGCAGGGCTTGTAGCTGGGACCTGCTCCTGCCTCCTGTGACAGCACTGGTCAGCAAGGTCACCTGGAGGCCTCACAGAGAACAAGTCAACTTCCTATGTATAAAAAAACCTAACCGCCTCAGTCAATTCTTTCATGTAAAATTAAATCACTGAAAAATAATACACTTTGAAACCCACTGCCACATTTATAAAAAGAAAGTAAAGTCCAAATTCTTAAAAATCCTTTAAAAATGTATCAATAGCCTTCTTACTAACAGATATAAAACAGTTTAAGACACTTGGTGACTTTCTTAGGCCATGTAACAGGGGGATGTATACACAATGAGGTTTTACTACTAAAATTATCCATTTGGTAAAATTCTAGAAGAGTTCCATCAGCAAATAATTGTTTGGGAAAGAAGAGTTACAACTTTTCCCAAAATGTCAAAAATAATAAGGATGTAAATACAGCATACTTAAAATATCAACACAATACTGATTCAGTTAAATAAATAAAAGAAAGTGGCACCAACTTTATGGTAATTTTTCAACACAAAAATGTAGCTCAAGGGTATTTTAAAATAAATAATTGCTCCAAACAGGAACAAGCATTCTTAGCATGAAGCAAGAGCTTCTGAAATAAAGTGCTTTGAAACGAAGTGGCTCTACATGCCACCTTGTTCACCTATGAGCAGAAATGGCATCTGGATCTTCCCGCCAAAATCATTGCCTCGGTGGGAGAGTCCACTTCACTGAACACCAGGCCACGGGCCACCTTGTGTCATTTTTCTTTTTTCTTCCAGTGTGTGTTTAAATATTTTCTTCAGGGTGTTGTAAACTACTGGTCCATTTTCAGAATCAAAATTAACCTGATGACAAAGAGAATTCATATTCAGGACACTGCAACAAGAATTTTAGCCAGTCTATTTTGGGAGAAAAGAAGGGGGGCTGGAGATAAAACTAAGACTCACACACAGAATCATATATAGTTAAAAGTACACACAACACAATTCACATGTTAATTTTAATTGAAAGATTCGATTAGAACTGCCAATCATGTCAATACCAAACTTATGAAGGAAACTCAAAACATTAAATCTAGTGCCAGGACATGTGTCCTCACAGGCCGTTGTGAAGCAAGTCACTACTGAGTGTGAAGTGAGTTTTGAATCCAGAAACTGCTAGATGGTGGTACAGGGGAAGGTTTCCTCACCCCAACACCACACATTAGCTGCCCAGGTGAGGCGAGCAGCAGGAAGCTGCTCCCCCTCACTCACCTGGAGCTCCAGGTCCTACCAGCCTCTCCACAATGTGAAAATCACAATACCCCTCCCCTCCCGGGATTTCTCTGAGCACTAAACAGAAGGGTGCAACATATGTTTGGTATATAAGTTAGTTTCCTTTTGTTAGGCAGACAGACAGAGTGGTAGAGAGAGAATAAAGCCAGCAAAGTCCACTAAAAGGAACTCAAAGACTTAACCCGATAAAACAAGAGTCAGAAAGGACTCACAGAATTACTTAATTAGCTGACATTTCAAAGGCCAGGAGTGACTTGGACTGTCCAGATACTCCCCAGATGAAAAACAATTCCCCAGATAAAGGAAAACATCAAAGTGCAGCTCGTATCTTCATTTTACCAATTAGATTGGGCCTCCAAAGCAAACGACTGTCAATCAAGGACATCTCTGTTCTGCCCAGGGAGATGGGACGAGGGTCATGCCATTGTAAAATCTACTTAGCCTACAGAAAAAGGCCCAGTTTATTCTTTAACTTAATCTGTACGCTGTTCCTTTTCTTCCAGCCCCATAATCAATTGAGTAACTTTGTAATCAGGACAGGAGACAGACCTCCAAAGTGTAAATGAATCTGCATGGATAAAGAATTTCAAGATCCCGACCAACACAGTCACCTTAAATAACCCTATTCTTAAGACAAAACTTCAAAGGAATCATGAATCACCTGTGTACATCATGCCTTATGCTGACCCTACCCAAAGGGCCCCACAAAACCCCAAACCCTGAACTCGTAATGGCTCATCTCTGAGGGGTTGCCCACATGCCCCTCTGAGTGTGTATGTTTTGCCTTAAATAAAGACTTCTAACTGCTCAACTTACTATGTTTGTCTTGTGCTCTTCCAGTGGTAAGCTTCTTTGTCACTTTACTATTTCATTCTATTCTCCAGACTTAAGCATAAGACTTCGCTCTTTCTGTCCTACTCCAGATAAGCAGGGAGGCTCCAGATAAGGCTAGGCTATGGAGAGCTCTGATTTGAGCTTGCAAGTTCTGTCGCCTGGGGGACCCAGAAAGGACTGCAGTTGAGACAGGGGCCCTGGGCTTAGACAGAGTAGGGTGAGGGTGTCTGGAAAAAACAAAGCAAGTGTGGATAAAATGAGAGTTCCTGTGCCAGGATTCTCACCTGGCCCTGGTTGACTAGCTCACTGCACACCTGTGGGCAATACGTGGCTGTTGACTCTATATAAAGAGCTCTGCCCAGTGCTCTGGGCATGATACGGTGGCAGGGCTGCAAGGCTGCAGGAGAGCAGAGCAGAGGCTGGAGTGATGGCAGCACCAAGGACAGAGGCCCAGAGGATGGCTGTGTGGGACAACTGTGCAGAGAGGCTGGGAGGACGGCTGGGAGGACGGCTGGGAGGACGGCTGTGTGGACAGAGGAGCCCAGAGGACGGCTGTGACGACAGAGGGGCCCAGAGGCAGAGACTGGCCTGCTGCATGCAGACTCGCTCTGAGTGAATGGGCTTCTAGTGACTGACCTGCCACCTGGGAATAAAGTTGGGTATAACCCTTTGACCCCAAGAACGTTTTGCTGTCATTTTCTTTGGTCACACTAAATCCATAGCAAAATTGCCCAGGCCTGAAACCCACTGGCAAGACAGCAAGATAATCCATTGTGGGATTTGCTTTGGCCAGCTGGGGACACTGTAACATTCCTTTAAATAATAGTGTGGCTTCAAGTGCTGAGTCTGATCTACAAAGAACTAGTTTAGGGTTACTTCTTACCTATTCTTGTCAGTAGGGTGAACACAACCTACATGGGTCAAATTAATTTTAAAAATCTTAATTCTCATAGTAAAAAACTGGGAGGAGGGGCCCAGTTTATTTTTTTGACTTTACCCAGGTGTTGCTTTTCTTCCTCCAGCCCTAATCAAGTGATTTTTGCAACCTGGGCAATTTAGCAAGCAAGCCCAAAACATAGTAAAAACAGGAAGGATTCCACCTTGGAGATAAAAATTGCATTTAAAAACCCAATTAGTTAAAAAGTAACTTTTATAACATATTCTTTCACAAACAGACAATAACTCAGCCCATCTCTGGAGCAAAGCAGGCAATCTTGATTGATATGCTCCCAGACCAGGAAGCTGCTATCCTGGGAGGGAATCAGAGCAGTAAGTTTCTTGTAAATAACCTGGAAGACTAATAAGAAACTTAATGTCTCTTCAAAGATAAACATTTTGGGACCGCTTAGCAGGTCTGCATCTCTAGCCCTTTGTCTCTCAACTGCCTATAAATCCCCTAGACAACCCACCACCCCAGGGCTCTTTGTCCCCTCCAGGAGGCGTGAGCCAGGAGCTCTGTCCTCTCCCTTTATCTCTAAATAAAAGCCTCTGTCTTGCTCTCCTACCTTAAGTATTTGTGAAGTTCATTCTTCAACTCTGCGAACAAGAACCCTGGCCTCACAGCTTTACAATTATGCTCTTTAGTAGCCTGCTGAAAATCTCCTTTCTTTGACTTTGGCAAGTTCTCAGAACATAATCTCACTCCGTTCAGTGCTCTGTGACTCCTCCAAATCCCAGGGTGCTAGGGACTCGGTTCCCACACTGTGCAGATTCAAACAGATACTGGACGCCAGGTGACACTGGCTTCAGGAGTTGGCAAGAAGGGATTTGCCCAATGCTGAGCGCAGTTCAGTGAGCTTCCCTTTCCTCCCTCTGTTCTTCCTTGCTCTCTGCTGCCTGCAAGGCAGCTGCCATTCCCTGCTATTCTTGCTTTGATGAATTCCTTCCTTACCTTTCACTCTGACCTCTCTGCATCTCTGAACTGAATTCCTTCTCAACACTTTTCCCTTAGTGGGCGGGCACCATGTCCACATATTTGGACTACTTGCTTTCACCAGCCTGCAGGGTTGGGAGTGATGGGAGGATGGAGAACCAGAGCAACTATCCATCTCCATCTACCCCTATCCCACCCCCAAGGAAAGTGTGGATCCTTAGGAAAGGATCAGGATTGCTTAGCCCTGAAGGGTGAGGGTGTGAAGGGCTGGGAAGAGTCTGAGATCTCCCCCTGCTCACAGGCTAACTTGTTCACCTTCCAGCTTTGCAGACACTGGCAGAAGACCCAAAACTGCAGGGTCACAGACAGACACCTTTACCACTTGAGGCAGCATGTGCTTCATAGTCACAGGGCTCCCCTTGCCCTCTGAGTCCCACAGGTGTGAGGAGGAGCCCCAGTGGGCGTTGCACAAGCAGGGGGTTAGCATGGTAGTAGAGCAAGTCCCAGCTTAGGTGAGCCCTGTGTTTGGTGAGGGGCTGCAGCAGGCCTGCTAAGCTTTGGCTTAAAAGGAAACATGATCTTTACTGCACTGGAAGCAGATGCTACAGACGCCCTTGCAGAGCTAGCTGAGAACGAGAGTCAGGGCCTCTGCTCACAAGACCATTCACAAGGGGACAGATAAAGGAACCATCTCCTGATGCTTTTATAGATAGACCTGGAACTGGTGTAACTTTTCATCAGTACCCCCTAAAAGGCCAACAGAGGTTGTAAAGAAGTCTTACTACTTTCAGAGAGACCATTAAGGATGTTTTTTCAGTTAAATTCTGAAATTATCCTAACCATTATATTGCCTATCCTATTTGCAAAAGCTTCTTACTAACACTAAGAATGGTTTGAATTGTTTACTTTGTCAAACCACAACCCTCCCCACATGGCAGGTAGTTTTTTGGTCTATGAAAACATAAATGTAGGTGGAAAGATCACATGATTTGGTTTTGTGCCACTGGCTCTGGAAAGTGTCAAGAAGAGCAGAGGGTGTAGGGTGGTCAGCGTCCTGAAGCTCCAGAGGAGCGAGGAGGGCTGTCTGACGACGTCCCCTGCAGAAGGGGGCTGGCGACTGAGCACCAGCACAGACTGCCATGATGACCGGGCTCACCGTGGGGGTGGGCACGGAGAGCCTGGGCTCCTCACGGGAGGGTACTAAACACGGCAGCGGAACGGGTGAGGGGAGCCTTTCTCTTAGCGGGAACCTGATTTCTTTCTTCAGCCAGGAAACACTGCTGCAAGCCAGGAGGATGTGCACAGAAAGGAAACTGTTTTTTTTTTTCTTTCACTTTTTATTTAGAATTTGCCAACCAGGATATGTCCTGAACTGAACTGTCAATACTGGATGGTGAATTCTCAATGGACAGTTTATTTGGACTCAAGGTAGAACTGGCTCATCAAGAAAAGATCTCTGACTCCTACTAGGCACATGATTTAAAAATACTTTTGCAGCCCCAACTGTTTCTCTCTCTATTAAAGCTCTTTGTTCCAATGTTCTCTTCCAAAAACTCAGAGTTCAGCTTTTTCTAATATCACAGTTAGGAAACTAAATTTTTTGGCCAGTTGTCTGCAATTACTTCCAAGAAATGTCAAACCTATTTCCATTAAGGAGAGATAATGCTAAAAGATTTATTTTAGAGGAGACTGGAGACCTGCAGATTCTGGTGTACAATTACGGGCAGGAGGGAAAAGGAGCAGAGTGACCCACCTTAGTGAAAGCTTTAATGGCTTGGGTGAGAACTGCTTCTTCCAAATCTGCAGGAATCGTCCGCAGGCTCACGATGCAATGCAATACACAGAGTATAGTCTGGTGCTGGCCCTGTTTTTGCAGAAATCAAAATCAGACGAAGTGTTTGAAAAATGCCTTAAGAAATAAATTCAAAGCAAATGCAGAGCCAGGAACTGGTTTGTGACCAAACACTCATAACCTCGAATTATGTGTTAATATAATTTGAAAAGCATTCAGGAGATAAAATCAAAGCTGGTTAGGTGTTACATGTGTGTAAAGTGCAATTTCAAATCAAATGTCTTCCTTGCAGTGAACTGAAGAGGTGACCCACTGGTTTCTGGCCGCAGTTGCTGCAGTCAGCAAGGAGGTACTGCTGCATCACAGCAGCACCTGGGCTTCTCAGCTGGGAGCCCGGCACTCAGGACCTGCCACCTGTGCAGGAGTTGTGAGAGAAGAGACAGCAGTAGCCCTCTAGGAAGACACCAGAACTTAAGAGGATGTGTCCCAACTTGACTCCTGGGGGCCAGGGACTGTTCACTTTAGAGCAGCAAAGGAGAAACTCTGCCACTGGGACTGTGCACATCCAGTACGCATGGCCCCTGTCACTCATTTCACTTCTGGAAATCTACTCTACAGGCATAATCTACATGCACAAATGACCATTATAGTGGTGCCTATAAAAGTAAAGAACCCAAAATAATGTAAATGGCCCACACATGGGGGCTAGAGTGAAGGATGGTGACACAGCACAGTGTGACAGAAAGGCATAAACTTTGTGCCAGAGCTCTGGGTTCAAATCCTCATCTGACACATGCTGCATACCATTTCTATAAAACAGGGCCTCTACCTCTCCAAACTATGGAGAGCAACAAAGGTGAAATTATGAGATTATGACCCAGCAAGGGCCTGGCCCACCAAGACAAAGGTTAACTGTCTCCCTGAAGACCCTCCTGCTTCATCTCTACAATTTAATTGCTGAGAATACAGCCTAAGAAAAGGACTCCAGGTACAGGAAAAACTTTATCTGTAAAGATGTGTATCACACCACTGTGTGTGTGCATGTATGTGTGCATCTGTGTGTCTGCATGCACACATCCATGTATCTGCACGTCCCTGTGTATGGTAGTAGATTGGGAAACAATGAGGAGATGTAACACAAGGCTGATTGTGAGGCAGCATTGTTTCCAAAACAAAAAAAACAAAGCCTATTCTTAAATGAAAATGTAGCATCTCTACATGTTAAAAATATTAAATTGTAGCAAAACAAAGAAACCCCAAAATTTTAGATTGTATAGAAGGGTCTACAATGAAATGGAATCTGGATCCCTTATCTCTTACTACTGTTCCCAAAAGGCAACCTCCATGATCGGTTTCTTATTTTCCTTCTCTATTTTAAACATGTACGAATTACTACATAAATATACAGAGGGACACACACCCTTTCCAGGAAGTACAAATGAGTGCATGTTTCAGCCCACCTCACAGTTCTTCACATTATGGACTCGCAGTAAGGAGAAACAAATCCTTGCAGGTGAGGGCACGGTCACAGTAGAGTTCTCATGTTACAGCGCCCTGCCCACTCAAGTGAATGTTTACGAAAACCTTACAGTGAACTTGGGAAACACAATTTGAACAAAAACAAAGTGGCAAGTTGTACATGAAACGGTTTTTATCAAGTTAACACAGGTACTGATCAGATGGAAAGGCGGCACCTGGACATGCTTACAGTGGCTCTGCTGGGACCCCAAGGGCTCTGCTCTCACCTCTGAGTCTGCTCAGCGCTTGCATCAAGCAGGCATTTCTTCTTTTACTTGGGAATAACTGAAACTGGACCCAGATGTGGGATTCTGCATGTATTCCCTTTTTCACAGGGGAATCTTTTAGCCTGTGGAACTTGTACTTCATCAGTTTCCTAGCAGCCACTTTACCTTCTCCAGCAAAAACAGCGCTTCGGTGGCTTCCGCGTGCCTGCCCACCAACATGTCCACGTCTGCTTTGGTTATCACAGGCTCCTTAAGCTGCTCCACCCAAGACCACATTAAACTGCACAGGGTAACAGGGTCTCTTTCACCACATATTCTTTCCCAAGCTCCATCTCGGGAATTTAGTTCTTTCTAAAAAGCAAGAGAGAGGAAGAAGAGAAAAGACAGGAGAGAAGAGAAGTGGTGCCCCTGGCGCCTTTCGGCTGCTGTGGGCTCTGGTGCAGCCTGAGGCTCTCCCTCCCAGTGGCCCTGCTGCGCCCTGTGAAGCCAGTGCGGCCCACAGGCATGCTAGAGGCCTGTGAACACTCCCAGCACAAAGGGGCCTCGTTAGCCCAAGTTCCAGACTGCACTCAGAAATCACAGGAACAGCTCCGGATGTGGGAGTTGCATGTTTAGACTCCTTGGAACAAAACTGAAATGTTTACTGCAGCAAAGGAGATTAGCAGATGAAAAGTGTAAGAGAACACTTGCAAATTGACCTGGGATATGGAAAAGCTTATGATGGAAGCTTCAAATGCACCAAAAAAAGTGCCTAAAAGTTGGTAAATGTGGTGTATGTATTCTTTCAAATTCCTCTTTAGAATCCTATGTAGAATTTAACAAGTAACAAGCCCCACATCCTGAAACTGGATTGGGTAAAATAACTAAAAAGTCTTGCCAATACCCCACATACCTGGAAATAATATAAGCAAGAGACTTTAAAACTACCTCACAGAGAGCAGAGGAAAGGGAGATTCTTATTTTCTGCCAGGGCTTAGATTTGTGTCTTACTAAGTAAAATAAAGGTTTGCAGCAGTAATGAGCATACCAATTGCTACCATTCCACCTGCTACCATTCCTTCTCCATCCAGTATTTAGAGAGTACCTAAAATACAAGCTGACTCTTGCTTGCAGCAACCTGCCAGCAAGGCCCTGTGTGACAAATGTACTGGGCTCAGGAAGGTGCAGCAACCTGCCCAAGCACCAAAGTGAGAATGGCGCACAGAGGCATTCCTCCACCTGTGCTGTTCTGCCCCATCAGCGTCCCTGGCACTGGGTTCTCTTTATCATCTCATAAATAAGCCAATGCTTCTAGCTGTGCGAGGTTCTCTGTGTCCCACAGAATAGCCTTTAATCCCACTTTCACAGGTGATGAGAAGATAGCTGGCTGGAACTACGCCAACTCAGAGACCTCTTTGTGAAATGACTGTTACCTCACAGTGTTTTCTGAGACCTTCCAGCAGGGCTAGGAAAGACATTAGGGTGACAGGGGGTACTCAACACACAAGCTGTATCCTGGCACTGCTGCTTTCACATCACGTGACCTTGAGCATGTCACCTGGCCTCTATGACCCTTTGTTTCCCCATATGTGATGCTGAATTTGTAAGGATGGTGAAGACAAACAAAGAACCTGTAAATAGTATATCTGCCTCACAGGACTACTGTGCAAATCATGTGAGAATTCAGATGGGAAAAAGCCTAGTATGGGCACAGGTGGCATTATGCTATTCAAACCATGTTAATTTCACTCTTTCCATAATTCAACCTACTAGTTTTATTACTGAAAGGCCCACAATAAAATCTACAAAGAAAAGAAATGGACAAATCTATCTAAGTGAAAGGGTTGTGTTCCCTTCTAAAAAATGCTTTCCTGTTGAAACATGTTGAAACAGTCTGGCCCACACAGGGCTGACCCACGAGGGGGTGTGAACTCTCATGCCTGAAACTGAAGGTCCTGAGGCTAGCTGCTGTGGCTCACAGCAGTGCAGAGGAAGTGCCTGCTGACTAAGTGGAGGGCTTATTCAGTTTGGGGTAGGAAATAAAGAAAACACTTCATGCTGGAAGAAAGCAATACATTCCCTATGTGTTCAGTAAAACCCTACAACTCTGAGGGAAAAAGCACTCTCTCCATCACACACTGTAAGTGGGTGCAAGGCTCCACACCTAGTTTCCCTGCCTCTGCATCTGGAAGGTTCTAGCCTTCCTAGAAAGTGGACATGACTTGCTTACTTAGTGGTAGAATATGGAAGGTCAGTTTTGCAAATAATTTATGGTAGATTATAGGCTAATATAACAAGTTAAGAGTACACTGAGCCAGGTCTCCCCTCCCACACTGGGGCAGTTTCCTATTTCTGATTGCCAGGTTATAATGCCTGCCTTTTCTCTAGGCCAGCTGCTCCTTAAGGAAGAGAGTGCAGTTGATTAAAGACTGATTTGTAGTGCAAGTACAACACAAAATGGAGTTAAAATTTAAAGTCTAATTTAATTTCTAATTCAGTAAAAGCCAGGAATTGGACCCTGAAGACCCAATTTCAGGTAAAACTAAAGGCACAAAGGCATTCTGTGGCTACTCCCATTTGCCTTCTGGAATCCAACACTGCCTTATGGGGTGGCCTGGGAAGGCTGCAGGAGGGAGTGCTCAGCAGATAGCATCCAGTATGTCCTCCTCGCCTCACCCAGTACTGGGCTGATGAGCTTGGAGAAGGACTTTCTCTGATTTCATTTATGTCTCTCAGTCAGCAGTTCTCCAAGTGTGGCTGCCCACCAGGCCTCGGGTTATAAATTCTTCAGGAAGTTCCTACTGCTGTCTGCGTTGTGCTGTCCATCTGACCATCAGTCCCACAAACCCACAAGACAGACAGAAGTCATGGACACCAATCAGTATCAGTACCTGGCTCAGTCAAGCACCTTAAGTGCTAAGTGCTTTCTTTCACACGGAGATTAAAACGCCCCACACAACAGCCCTGTATCTGTCATTCCTATGACAGCAGGCTCAAATCAGAGCTGAGAAACCTGAAGTTCAAAAGATTAGTATTATACAAACATATCCTCAAATTCCTCTAACATGTAAATTTGGGAAAATATATATTTTTTTGCTCTGACATCAGTATTTCCCAAAAGTATTAATTAAATGGAATATAAATACCTGCCACATTTCTACCTTTCTTTTCACTTCCTCATTCTCTGCAAACTCACTGAAATTTGCCAGGGCTTTGGCTGCCAGTATTCGCCGTGCTTCGATGCTCAATTCCGACTGCAAAGCAGCGTGTAGGGTTACTTCAGACAGATCTTCACTGCCCTGGGTTTCAGGTCCAACCGAGAACTGTGCTTTGGGGCCTAAGCCACAGTCCACAGGGCTGTGGTAAGTCCCCTTGTCCTCCATGACACAGTCTGAGCTGTAGCCACCATGGACTTCACACAGACAGTGGGGTACTTGCTGGGGAAAACGGTTTGGTGCCTTGGGGATATTTGCAATGTTGGGTGTGACAGGGTTGTATGACTCTGAAATACTTGAAGAGAAGGTTCTGCTTCTCTGTACTTCCTTTGGAATATTCTTCCTATGGAAAGTTTGTGACCCGTCATCTTTGAGCCCTTCCAGGCCTCCAAAATTAGCCTGATGCCAGAAAGAAAATGCACTGTGGACCAGCATTTCCTTATTTAAATCTGGCTGTGGGGACTGTGAAGTGTGACAGTAGCTTAGGGGCTTCTGCTGCCTGGGGTTAGGGCAAAGAAGGGCCTGGGCAGGCACTATCCATGGAGTGCCCCCTTGCTCCAGAAGTGACTCTGCCCACTTTAAATCCGAGTCACTGTAGCTGAGTCGCCTTTTCAAGCGAGTGAGGGGCTGAAGGCATTCGACATTCCGCCTCTTCCAAAGAAGGTCAAACTCTTGTTCACTGGAGAGAATCACATCCTGATTCTCAAAAGCTGCCGCCACTGCAGCAGGGCTAAAGGAGTTCAATGTGTCACTGTTGTGTCTCAGCAACTCTGTACCCAGCTGCATTGTCACCATCTCAGAAACGGTCTTCTCAATTTCATCAGAGAGGCTGGGTATTACTGCCATTTCTGTCACCATGGGCCTGTTCTCAGCTAAGTCCAATAGCAGTTTGCAAACGAGGTGGATAATTTTTGGCACATGTTTCAGTAGTCGTGCTTCATAACCATGAAGCAGATGCCGCTGGCGAATTAGATACTGTGCTAAGGTGACAGCATGGGCTTTGGGGTCACAGCAAGAGAACACATTGCGAAGAGGAATCAGAAACTGAGTAAATTCCCTTACACATAGTAGCTGTCCTCGAGTTTGAATGGAATTGGGTCGCTTTGCCCGAACAAATACAATCGCTTGGTCAGCAGTCATTCTTGTCGCAAAAACTAAGTAACATGCTATTAAAACACCTAAACAGTGAAGAAGAGAAGACTGGTATGAGAAAAGCTTGTAATTTATTTATTTGCACTTACTGAGATTTAAAATTTGAATATGCATTGGGACCCATATATAGAGAATTATTTTAATAAACATATTTAACTTCCACACTGGTGTTTTATCTATTTACTTGTATATGGGCCCTTCCCCTTGAGACCACCCTAGTACCTCTGTACCTTGGGATGAATACAGGAACTGCCAGGTGAAGCTCAATGAGTGTGGAGTGGGATGACTAAGGGGGTGAGGGGATATGAATGATTTAGTGGGTGGGGGGATAAATGAGTAAGTGAGCAGGGGGATGACTGCGCAAGTGGGCAGGGGAAGGACTGAGTGAGTGACTGGGGGGAGTGACTGAATAAGGGGGCTAGGGGATGACTGCATAAGTTGGATAGGGCACGACTGAGTGTACTGGTTGAGGGTATGACTGAGGGTCCTGATGACATAGTTGTTTAACCTCCTATGCTTAACTCCAACATGGAAAAAAGTAAATCCTGCCTTCTTTTCACCCTGAGCAGCTATGGAAATTTCCATTCCAGTGAATCCATACACTCCACCTGGAACTTCCTATTTTTGCCATTTTGCCATCAAATGCTGGCACATTCTAGCCTGGCGTTCTTTCTACTGGAGCATTTTTTTCTTTAGGGATTATTTATATTCACAATGTTTTTCTTCCCCTGACAATTGCCTTGCAAACATTTATCTACACTAATGTGTGTTTTTCTTCAGACCATGATATAACTCTATTTTTCTATAAGTACTTAATGTTAAGGAAAACAATCTTAACATGTAATGAAATTATGTATTTTTAAATTAATATCAAACTAAAGTGAACAATGTAAGGGTTAAGGGTGATAATTCACACAAAATAGTTAATTATTACCAAAGGAAAAGAAAAATCAAAAGACTTCTGCAATTCACAAGATTGCGAAATCTCATTACATATGAAAATCAGGCCCTGTAAATACTCACATTTTCCCACTATGTGTTCGGGTCTAACATATTTTTCTCACTAAGACAATGGCAGATCTTTACTCTAAGTATGAAATATCCATATAGCTATGATGTCGAGTCCCGAGGAACAGAGAGATTTTGGCTTGACCATAAGAACTGATAGTCTCAAGCAAAACTGAGAACTGAGTCTCCTCCCTGAAGATGCCCCGAGCAGGTGGGGGATCCTGTGGCAAGCACACTACAGACAGAGTTGAACTCAGGTATCTGGCTGGACCCAAGGACATTCAAACCCTATGGTGCTTATTTTTGCCCAAGTACCAGCAATGTACTGCGATTTGTGGTATTTTTATTTAAAATCATCTTTATATAGAATTCTAGACATAGAGAGACTCTTCTTCACAAACAAAATCCTATCAATAATGAATTTAAATCTTAGCCCTGCCAATAACTCAATGTAGCAAATTACTTAATGTCCTTCAAAACTCACATTGTTGCTAAAGACTTATTAAAATAGCAGGTTGGGAGATTCAAGATGGTGGTGTGACAGATGAGACAGAGAACGCCTTTCAAAACCACAAATAGTACAAAAATATAGTTAATTACTACAAATAACCCTAAAACAGCAACAGGAAAGAAGGATGAACCAGACTGCACACAGATGTCACAAACGGAGCAGAACTCACAAAACAGGGTTGGGAACTTTGAGGAGCTTCAGGCACCCCATCCTCCTGGCTGGCTACTCAGATCCAAGGCCCCCCACTGTGACACAGCCTGCCAAGCCTTCCTCCTGCACTGCCGGCACCGGCTCGTAAACCAGCAGTAACTGTGCTGGCGTCAGGCCAGCCAGAGTGAGGACCTGTACACAACAGCTAGAGATGCCAAGCACAGAGGCTTACACCTGTGTGCTTGGCCCACTGGCTCTGACACTGGAGACAAGCACCACAGATGGAAATCAGGAAACAGATCTTTCCTCCCCACAGGTACCAGCTCTGCTCCCCAAAGACCCCCAACCTCACTCTAGAGGCTGAGCAGCTCTAAAGACCAGAGCTTCTAGGAGCTAGAGGGCTTCACATAGAAATATGAAATGTCAAAGAAAAAGGTTCAGATCAAAATCTCACAAACCCCAGAAAAAGGGCCAAATGAAACTGAACTCACCAATCTTCCTGACTGAAAAAGAGTTCAAAATAAAAATCATAAACATGCTTATGGAGGTACAGAAAAATATCCAAGAACTCAGGAATGAATTTAAGATGGAGATTCAATCATTAACAAATTCCATATCTGAAATGAAACATACAATGTAGGGATTTAAAAGGAGATCAGATGTACTAGAAAAGATGGTAAATGGAACAGAAATTAGAGAAGAGGAATATAAAGAAGCTGAGGCACACAGAGAAAAAAGAAACTCTAAGAATGATATAATAATATTGAGAGAACTGTGTGACCAATCCAAACGTAACAATATTTGCATTATAGGGGTACCAGAAGAAGAAGAGAGAGAAAAAGGGATAGAAAGTGTCATTGAGAAGGTAAGTGTTGAAAACTTAGCCAATCTGGGGAAGGAGGTACTCTCTCAAGCCATGGAGGTGCACAGATCTCCCAACACAAGGGACCCAAGGAAGACAACATCAAGACATATAATAATTAAAATGGCAAAGACCAAAGATAAAGACAGACTTTTAAAGGCAGCCAGAGAGAGAAAAAAGGTTGCATACAAAGCAAAACCCATCAGGCTATCATCAGATTTCTCAACAGAAACCTTACAGGCCAGAAGGGAGTGGCATGATATATTTAATGCAATGAAACAGAAGGGCCTTGAACCAAGAATATTCTACCCAGCAAGGTTATAATTTAAATTTGAAGGAGGGATTAAACAATTTTCAGATAAGCAAAAGCTGAGGGAATTTACCTCCCACAAACCACCTCTACAGTGGATTTTGGAGAGACTCCTATAGATGGAAGTATTCCTAAGGCTAAATAGATGTCACCCAATGGATACACAAAGAGTACAGAATATGATTCATAACATACAAAGAATGGAGGAGGAAGATAAAGACAAAGGAGGAAGAAAAAGACAAAGGAGGAAGAAAAAAAAGAACCTTTAGGTTGTGTTTGTAATATCATACAAAGTGAGTTAAATTAGATTGTTAGATAGTAAGGGAATTACCCTTGAACCTTTGGTAATCACAAATCTAAAGCCTGCAATGGCAATAAGTACATACCTATCAATAATCACCCTAAATGTAAATGGTCTGACTGCACCAATCAAAAGACATAGAGTCACTGAATGCATAAAAAAACAAGACCCATCTATATGCTGCCTACAAGAGACTCACTTCAAACCCAAAGACATGCACAAACTAAAAGTGAACAGATGGAAAAAGATACTTCATGGAACCAATAGGGAGAAAAAAGCAGGAGTTGCAGTACTTGTATCAGACAAAATAGACTTCAAAACAAAGAAAGTAACAAGAGACAAGGATATTACATAATGATAAAGGGGTCAGTCCAAGAAGAGGATAAAAGTATTATAAATATCTATGCACACAATACAGGAGCACCTACATATGTGAAACAAATACTAAGAGAATTCAAGGGGGAAATAGAATGCAATGCATTTATTTTGGGAGACATCAACACACCACAAACTCCAAAGGACAGATCAACCAGACAGAAAATAAACAAAGAGACAGAGGCACTGAACAATGTATTAGAAAAGATGGACCTAATGGACATCTAGAGAACATTCCATCCAAAAGCAACAGGATACACATTCTTCTCAAGTGCACATGGAACATTTTCAAGAATAGATCATATAGTATAGGCCACAAAAAGAACCTCAGTAAATTCAAAAAGGCTAAAAATGTATCAGCCAGCTACTCAGATCACAAAGGTATGAAACTAGAAATAAATTACACAAAGAAAACAAAAAAGCCCACAAACACATGGAGGCATAATAACATGCTCCTAAATAATCAATGGATCAATACCAAATTAAAATAGAGATCAAGCAATATATGGAGACAAACGACAACAATAATTGAACACCACAAAATCTGTAGGATGCAGCAAAGGCCATGCTAAGAGGGAAATATATTGCAATACAGGCCTACCTTAGGGAAGAACAATCCCAAATGAACAGTCTAAACTCACAATTAATGAAACTAGAAAAGGAAGATCAAATGAGGCCCAAAGTCAGTAGAAGGAGGGACATAATAAAGATTAAAGCAGAAATAAACAAAATAGAGAAGAATAGGGGAGCCAAGATGGTGGCATGAGTAGAGCAGCAGAAATCTCCTCCCAAAACCACATTTATCTATGAAAATATAACAAAGACAACTCTTCGTAAATGAACAGTCTAAACTCACAATTAATGAAACTAGAAAAGGAAGATCAAATGAGGCCCAAAGTCAGTAGAAGGAGGGACATAATAAAGATTAAAGCAGAAATAAACAAAATAGAGAAGAATAGGGGAGCCAAGATGGTGGCATGAGTAGAGCAGCAGAAATCTCCTCCCAAAACCACATTTATCTATGAAAATATAACAAAGACAACTCTTCGTAAAACAGAGACCAGAGGACACAGGACAACATCCAGAACACATCCACACCTGTGAGAACCCAGCATCTTGCGAAGGGGGTAAGATACAAGCCCCGGGCCGGCGGGACCCGAGCACCCCTCCCCCCAGCTCCTGGCGGGTGGAGAGGAGTCAGCAGGGAGGGAGAAGGAACCCAGGACTGCTGAACACCCAGCCCCAGCCATCCAGACGAGAGCGCAGACAAAGTGCATGCATGGGGTCCTCGATACTAGGGAAACAGGGCGGCAGGACTGTTGAGTGGGTGCCTGAAGCCGACACCAGAGAACAAAGAAACAGGAGCGGCATTTTTTTTTTTTTTTGGTGAGTGCTTTTTGGAAGTCTTAAAGGGACAGGGACCCTAATACTAGGGAAACAGGGAAGCAAGACCGGTGAGCGGGGGCCTGAGACCGGCACCTGAGGACAAAGAAAATCGTGCATTT